AGTGAGAGTGACAGTAGCACCAGCAAGTGAGAGTGACAGTAGCACCAGCAAGTGAGAGTGACAGTAACAACAGCAAGTGAGAGTGACAGTAACACCAGCAAGTGAGAGTGACAGTAGCACCAGCAAGTGAGAGTGACAGTAACAACAGCAAGTGAGAGTGACAGTAACACCAGCAAGTGAGAGTGACAGTAGCACCAGCAAGTGAGAGTGACAGTAGCACCAGCAAGTGAGAGTGACAGTAGCACCAGCAAGTGAGAGTGACAGTAGCACCAGCAAGTGAGAGTGACAGTAACACCAGCAAGTGAGAGTGACAGTAGCACCAGCAAGTGAGAGTGACAGTAACAACAGCAAGTGAGAGTGACAGTAGCACCAGCAAGTGAGAGTGACAGTAACAACAGCAAGTGAGAGTGACAGTAACACCAGCAAGTGAGAGTGACAGTAGCACCAGCAAGTGAGAGTGACAGTAGCACCAGCAAGTGAGAGTGACAGTAGCACCAGCAAGTGAGAGTGACAGTAACACCAGCAAGTGAGAGTGACAGTAGCACCAGCAAGTGAGAGTGACAGTAACACAGCAAGTGAGAGTGACAGTAGCACCAGCAAGTGAGAGTGACAGTAACACCAGCAAGTGAGAGTGACAGTAACAACAGCAAGTGAGAGTGACAGTAGCACCAGCAAGTGAGAGTGACAGTAACACCAGCAAGTGAGAGTGACAGTAGCACCAGCAAGTGAGAGTGACAGTAACACCAGCAAGTGAGAGTGACAGTAGCACCAGCAAGTGAGAGTGACAGTAACAACAGCAAGTGAGAGTGACAGTAACACCAGCAAGTGAGAGTGACAGTAGCACCAGCAAGTGAGAGTGACAGTAACAACAGCAAGTGAGAGTGACAGTAGCACCAGCAAGTGAGAGTGACAGTAACACCAGCAAGTGAGAGTGACAGTAACACCAGCAAGTGAGAGTGACAGTAACAACAGAGGCGGAAAGAAAGATTGACGAAAAAAGGAAGCAACATGACGTGAAGTAGGGAATGTACTCTGCTGTACCTGTTCCCGCAACTGTGCATGTAACTGTAATTCTAATTGTAAATGTATCTGCATAAGTATAACAGGACAGTGAAAGACTTCAAAGGGATCCGGACAAATTGTAAGAGTGGTCAGATAAATAGTTACTTGAATTCAACCTCCGTAAATTCAAGGTCATGAAGACTTGTGAAGGAGCAAGAAGACCGGAAACGGAGTACAAATTAGGAGGACAGAGGCTGCAGACTTCCTCTGGGTGAGCACAGTGCCCAGTATAATGCCAGAGACACATCAGCCGAATAATCTCTGCAGCCAATTCTTTTCTAGGAAATCTAAAGCAGCCTTCAGGAAAAGAAACAAAGACTCACACTGGGCAGTGTGTACAACACGTCAGGTCATCTTGGAGTACTCAGCACCAGTATGGAACCCGCACCTGAAAAAATTCATGTTAAAAAAACAGGAGAAAGTGCAGAAGTTTGATAGAAGGATTGTTCCTGAGCTAAGGAGCATGAGCTGCCAGTAAAGGCTAACGGAATTTGACCTAACGACATCGGAGGACAGGACCAGGGAAGGACATGACAACAACATACAGAATACTTAGAGAAATTAATAATGTAGAGAGCAATAGACTGTTTCAGAGGCAAGCAGCGGGAATTATGGGATACAGATGGAAGCTAGACACAAATGAGCCACAGGCATGTTAGGAAGTATTTCTTCAGCCTCAGAGTGGTCGAGAAGTGGTGGGGTCAGGCACACATAGTTGCAAGAGCAGGTGCAAAAGGGCCCCCAGCACGTCTGAGGTCACGTGCGTTGTCACAAACCAATATTTTTCGTGCTAGTGTGCGTATCCGAGGATCTGTTAAAAATGGAAATTGGATCAAAGAATGTGTTAAAAACGAGGATTGGAGCAAGACGGATCAATGGAATGAAAAGTATGTGAAAAATTGTTATTGTGACACTAGAAATAATGTAGCTGTGGCGACTGTAATATGACAGACACCAGGTTATAGCAGATGTGGTGACTGTAACCTCAGAGACAGCAGGTGTGGTGACTGTAACCTCAGAGACAGCAGGTGTGGTGACTGTAACCTCAGAGACAGCAGGTGTGGTGACTGTAACCTCAGAGAAGCAGGTGTGGTGACTGTAACCTCAGAGACAGCAGGTGTGGTGACTGTAACCTCAGAGACAGCAGGTGTGGTGACTGTAACCTCAGAGACAACAGGTGTGATGACTGTAACCTCAGAGACAACAGGTGTGGTGACTGTAACCTCAGAGACAGCAGGTGTGATGACTGTAACCTCAGAGACAGCAGGTGTGGTGACTGTAACCTCAGAGACAGCAGGTGTGGTGACTGTAACCTCAGAGACAAGGTGTGATGACTGTAACCTCAGAGACAACAGGTGTGGTGACTGTAACCTCAGAGACAACAGGTGTGATGACTGTAACCTCAGAGACAACAGGTGTGGTGACTGTAACCTCAGAGACAACAGGTGTGGTGACTGTAACCTCAGAGAAAACAGGTGTGATGACTGTAACCTCAGAGACAACAGGTGTGGTGACTGTAACCTCAGAGACAACAGGTGTGGTGACTGTAACCTCAGAGACAACAGGTGTGATGACTGTAACCTCAGAGACAACAGGTGTGGTGACTGTAACCTCAGAGACAACAGATGTGATGACTGTAACCTCAGAGACAACAGATGTGATGACTATAACCTCAGAGACAGCAGGTGTGGTGACTGTAATCTCAGAGACAGCAGGTGTGGTGACGGTAACCTCAGAGACAGCAGGTGTGGTGACTGTAACCTCAGAGACAACAGGTGTGATGACGGTAACCTCAGAGACAACAGATGTGATGACTGTAACCTCAGAGACAACAGATGTGATGACTGTAACCTCAGAGACAGCAGGTGTGGTGACTGTAACCTCAGAGACAACAGGAGTGGTGACTGTAACCTCAGAGACAGCAGGTGTGGTGACTGTAACCTCAGAGACAACAGGAGTGGTGACTGTAACCTCAGAGACAGCAGGTGTGATGACTGTAACCTCAGAGACAACAGGTGTGGTGACTGTAACCTCAGAGACAGCAGGTGTGGTGACTGTAACCTCAGAGACAACAGGAGTGGTGACTGTAACCTCAGAGACAGCAGGTGTGGTGACTGTAACCTCAGAGACAACAGGAGTGGTGACTGTAACCTCAGAGACAGCAGGTGTGATGACTGTAACCTCAGAGACAACAGGTGTGGTGACTGTAACCTCAGAGACAGCAGGTGTGATGACTGTAACCTCAGAGACAGCAGGTGTGGTGACTGTAACCTCAGAGACAGCAGGTGTGGTGACTGTAACCTCAGAGACAGCAGGTGTGGTGACTGTAACCTCAGAGACAACAGATGTGGTGACTGTAACCTCAGAGACAGCAGGTGTGGTGACTGTAACCTCAGAGACAGCAGGTGTGATGACTGTAACCTCAGAGACAGCAAGTGTGGTGACTGTAACCTCAGAGACAGCAGGTGTGGTGACTGTAACCTCAGAGACAACAGGTGTGGTGACTTTAACCTCAGAGACAGCAGGTGTGGTGACTGTAACCTCAGAGACAACAGGTGTGATGACTGTAACCTCAGAGACAGCAGGTGTGGTGACTGTAACCTCAGAGACAACAGATGTGGTGACTGTAACCTCAGAGACAGCAGGTGTGGTGACTGTAACCTCAGAGACAGCAGGTGTGGTGACTGTAACCTCAGAGACAGCAGGTGTGGTGACTGTAACCTCAGAGACAACAGGTGTGGTGACTGTAACCTCAGAGACAACAGGTGTGGTGACTGTAACCTCAGAGACAACAGGTGTGGTGACTGTAACCTCAGAGACAACAGATGTGATGACTGTAACCTCAGAGACAACAGGTGTGGTGACTGTAACCTCAGAGACAACAGGTGTGGTGACTGTAACCTCAGAGACACTTACCGAAGTGCAAGATAGGAGCAGAAAAGTGTATAACATAACAAAGGTACAGACACAGCATAAGACACAGAAAGATAAAGATAGAGAATAAGGAACATAGAAAAACCGAACAGTAAAAGATATTATTTAAATCATCGGTGACTGTCAGCAGTGTCAGCCGTAGGAAGCCTGAGAGATAAGACAAGATACGCTGTTGATAGCCAAGTACCAATCAGACACAAACTGTTGATAGTCAAGGATTTGCGAGCCATGACTGGTTAGGGCGTGCAAGGTGCAGTGCACTGAGCGGTGACTGGCTAGGACGCTCAAGGTGTGGTGTGCTGAGTGGTGATTGGTTGGAATGTGCTAGGTACATTGTTCTGAACGGTGATTGGTTGGAATGTGCTAAGTACAGTGTTCTGAATGGTGATTGGTTGAGGAGTGCAAGACACTGGCCACCTCACTCTTGATGATATTTTTTCTTTCTCGTAAAAGTTAAATAGAATTTGTTATTGGTTGAATATTTTGCAGACACTACAATCCTCTGTCTGGGTAAAATATTTTACAGATAGCCACTAAAATTTGTTGTCTGGGTAACACATTTTACAGACAGCCACTACATTCTGTGTTGGAGTAAAATAAATACAAACCTGTACGCTCAGGTTGAAAGACAAGTATTCACTTGCAAGGCAGATGAAAACACGCATTCCAGTACGAGGACTTGAGAGAGTAATAGTGTTTGTGTTTGAGAGAGAGAGAGAGAGAGAGAGAGAGAGAGAGAGAGAGAGAGAGAGAGGAGAGAGAGAGAGAGACAAAGGCAGAGAGAGAAAGAAGGGGGTTAGTCGTACTTATACTTTGTCAGTAATATTGGTAGAATTACCGACAAAATGTTAGGTAAATGGACACAGATGCAACTGTGACATTTTGTTGTGGCAACGTTTCGCTTTCCAGGAGCTTTGTCCTGCCGTATTGGCTTGACAAAACTCTTGGAAAGCGGAACTTTGCCGCGATAAAATGTCACATTAGTTACATCTGCGTCCATTTACCTAACACCTTGTTTATCACTGTTACAGGTTAAACCCGAAGGTCACAATACACACCTAGGTGAAATAAATAATGAACCTGTGCCCTGAAAATTTAGTTCAGCGCTTCAGTTCACTCGGTCTTGGGGCTGCACTCAGGCACCTCACCTGCAAGTGTTGGGAGAGACGTCTGCAACAAGGGTTAATGTTTCAGCAGGGACTTCAGAGCTGAGAGGTGGGAATCTCCGTACCATTTTCCTTGGCCGCTTGACTGAGGGCTGTGCGGGTGGTCATGCTGATGGCGGTGGTGGTGTCATCTCTGGTGCACTGCGTCGTGAAGGCGTCATTTGACTCGATTTCGCGCATCTTGGCGCTCTTGTGTCCTCGACGCCGAGGGAAAACAGAGTTCTCTACCGTCAAGGAGCTGTTGACGTCCTTCCTGGCGGCACAGGTGCACGCCTTCAGGAAGCTCTTCTTGAAGTTGTCACTGAGGAAGGCGTACAGGATGGGGTTGATGGCAGAGTTAATGTAGGATAAACATGAGGAAATGAGAAAGAGGATAACCATGAAGGGGCTCTGTCCCTCCCTGGGGGGACTGAAGATCAGCACCAGCTGCAACACCCAGTAGGGCAGCCAACACATGACGTACACGGTGATCACCGTCAACACCATCTTCGTCACCTTCCTGTGGCTCTTCTTCTTCTCTTTGGACTTGGCTTTAGGACCAACCGACTTGAGTTTATGCAGCACCAGTATGTAAAATATCAAGATGAGGATGAGAGGTATGCCAAAGGCGAGGATGAAGGAATACATTGTGAAAACAAACTGGCCACTGATGCCAAAGCTGTCGGGCCAGAAAATGTTGCAGTTTATGAGGTCATTGACTTTGAGCGTGTTGGAATAAACGAAAACTGGCACATTCATGAGGGCAGACGTGGTCCAGGCCGTCAGGGAAACCAGTTTGGAAATCATTGGTGTACGGAACTTCGGCGAGCTGATAGGGTGGCAGACGGCGATGTAGCGATCAGCGCTCATGATGGTCAAGAAGAGGGAACTGGTGAACTGGTTGAGCGACGTGGTGATCATGTACAGCTTGCACATGATGGATCCGAAGGGCCAGTAGCCCAGAGCTGAAGTGATCATGAGAAACGGAATCCCAATAACGAAGAGCTCGTCGGCTATGGCCAGGTTGACGATGTACAGATTGGTGACCGTTTGCATGTTAGAGAACCTGGTAACTACGTAAATGACGAGAGTGTTGCCACACAGACCCACCAGGAAGGCGACAGCGTAACAGGCCTGCATCACCAAGTTGGCTACCATGTGAATGGGCGATACATCGCCAGTAAACACTCCAAGGGTGCAGTTCCGCGCAAACTCGGGGTCAGTGACGTTGAGGTAGGAGCAGTTGAGGGGAAAGGTGTCATTGACATCGTAATCCAGCAGAAGCGTGGCGTTCATGGTGACTGCTCACTGCTGAACCACCTCACAAGTCAGACTTTCCCACGACAGTCTCGAGGATACACTTCAGTAAACTTTACTTCATGATAACACTTTACTCCATTAGAAGACGCATTTTATTTTGGAGATCAAATTTATTTCTGCTTTGACCTGAGGTAGCAAACATATCATCCTCAATCCACTTCAAGATTCACTTCGTATAAACAATAATTCTTTCAGATTATCACCACATAAGGACCTTCAATGACCCAAAACATTGACTTTATGTCCTTTACTGAAGCCGTGACATGATACATTATAATAATAATAATGATACAGAAACTAACGCCACGGAGCGATGCTCTTCAAGAGCTTGTCACTTGAGATAATAACCTCCTCTTGCTACCTACGTCAACAGAATCACGACAGACGCAAACATGTGGCAGAAATACTTCCTTTGGATGACTTGATATTCCCGCCATTCTCTGTTTCACACACGTGAAGGCCTACATTCTTCCAGGTAGGACTACAGCTTTTGAAGTAAACCTGATGTCTCTGGAGACAGTCTTCGTACTCTGCCGGAGGAACACCGTCACTGGAAAGTCCTGGAAAATAAAAGATTAAACTTCAGTGTGTAGCGACGGAGCACCTTGATGTTGTTACACTGAGATGTACCGAGTTAACGGAAGGAGGAGGAGGAGGAGGAGGAGGAGGAGGAGGAGGAGGAGGTGGGTGAGTGGTGGGGAGGTTGAGTTAGTGGTGGGGAGGTTGAGTGAGTGAGTGAGTGGTAGATTGAGTGGGAGGTTGACTGGTGTTGCTCACCTTACAACAAAGCAACGCAACACAGACTGACGGCCTCAGCTTTAATCTCCCAGTGTTACCATGGGAGGAAAGGTCGAGCCAAATCCCATGATGCTCCTCCTCCTCTCTCCTTCACCTCATTTTTCTCCTCCTCTTCCCCTTTCTCTCCACTTTTTCTCTTCCTCTAAATTCCTCAACTAACTTCTTTACCTTTTCAACTTCTTAAATTTCCTTCTCATTTAAATTTCTAATTCTCTCTTCCTCTATTTCCTTTTTTTTGATAATTCCTATTTTATCTTAATTTCTTTCCCACTTACTACTTTCTTTTTCCTTTCTTTGCCTTTCTTCCTTCTCTCCCTACTTTCACCTTTCAAACATTATCTTTCCTTATATTCATCCTTTCCTGTTCGTTCTCCCAAAATATTCCTCTTCCTCATTCCCAATTTACCCATTACCCAAGCACCCTCTTCATTCTCCCCTTCACCCCTCTCGCCATTTCCCATTTATCTTATCCCTTTCACAGCCCCGTGTCAGCACAAAGTAGCAGCCCGTACTACAATGGTTAATGGCCACACGAAAGCCATTCTAAGGTTGTTATTTTCGAATCGAAAATGTGGCAGTATTTGTATATGATGTGTGTTCTTCATGGTTTAACGATGGTGGCAACGATGTTTATTCTGAGGGTTAGTGTAAACACTGTGAGCCTGGCACTAGACGAGGCGCTACACCCCTCACTTCGCAGCATTAACAATTACTTGTTCAAGCCGCTGTACGTCCTACCGGTAGTCTTCACGCTGGGTTTCCCAGCTGGCCGCCTCTAGCTCGAAGCTCAGCCATCGATGAAGTTCTGGTCCGGTGGTGGGGCTGGTGAGGTACTTCGTGGAGGTGAGATTGATCGTCCTCTCATTAATCAAGGCCACGTATAAGACATCTTTCCCGTCGTATGTGTCAGCGTCTGTGTCCGACAATGTGTCCGACGTTACTCTTATAGGGGGCGTTAATGGCAGGCTCAGCGCAACGGAAGCTTACTGCCTCTTGCACTGCCTCTTGCACTGCCTCTTGCACTGCCGCTTGCACCGCCTCTTGCACTGCCTCTTGCACTGCCTCTTGCACTGCCTCTTGCACTGCCTCTTGCACCGCGTCTTGCACTGCGTCTTGCACTGCCTCTTGCACTGCCTCTTGCACCGCCTCTTGCACTGCCTCTTGCACCGCCTCTTGCACCGCCTCTTGCACTGCCTCTTGCACCGCCTCTTGCACTGCCTCTTGCACTGCCTCTTGCACTGCCTCTTGCACTGCCTCTTGCACCGCCTCTTGCACTGCCTCTTGCACTGCCTCTTGCACTGCCTCTTGCACTGCCTCTTGCACTGCCTCTTGCACTGCCTCTTGCACCGCCTCTTGCTCCGCCTCTTGCACTGCCTCCTGCACTGCCTCTTGCACTGCCTCTTGCACTGCCTCTTGCACCGCCTCTTGCACTGCCTCTTGCACTGCCTCTTGCACTGCCTCTTGCACCGCCTCTTGCACTGCCTCTTGCACTGCCTCTTGCACTGCCTCTTGCACTGCCTCTTGCACTGCCTCTTGCACTGCCTCTTGCACCGCCTCTTGCACTGCCTCTTGCACTGTCTCTTGCACTGCCTCTTGCACTGCCTCTTGCACTGCCTCTTGCACCGCCTCTTGCACCGCCTCTTGCACTGCCTCTTGCACCGCCTCTTGCACTGCCTCTTGCACTGCCTCTTGCACTGCCTCTTGCACTGCCTCTTGCACCGCCTCTTGCACTGCCTCTTGCACTGCCTCTTGCAATGCCTCTTGCACTGCCTCTTGCACTGCCTCTTGCACCGCCTCTAGCACTGCCTCTTGCACTGCCTCTTGCACCGCCTCTTGCACTGTCTCTTGCACTGCCTTTTGCACCGCCTCTTGCACCGCCTCTTGCAATGCCTCTTGCACTGCCTCTTGCACTGCCTCTTGCACCGCCTCTAGCACTGCCTCTTGCACTGCCTCTTGCACCGCCTCTTGCACTGCCTCTTGCACTGCCTTTTGCACCGCCTCTTGCACTGCCTCTTGCACTGCTTCTTGCACTGCCTCCTGCCTCTAGCACTGCCTCTAGCACTGCCTCTTGCACTGCCTCTTGCACTGCCTCTTGCACTGCCTCTTGCACTGCCTCTAGCACTGCCTCTAGCACTGCCTCTTGCACTGCCCTCTGCACTGCCTCTTGCACTGCCTCTTGCACTGCCTCTTGCACTGCCTCTTGCACTGCCTCTTGCACCGCCTCTTGCACTGCCTCTTGCACTGCCTCTTGCACTGCCTCTTGCACCGCCTCTTGCACTGCCTCTTGCACCGCCTCTTGCACTGCCTCTTGCACTGCCTCTTGCACTGCTCTTCCTGCCTCTTGCACTGCCTCTTGCACTGCCTCTTGCACTGCCTCTTGCACCGCTCTTGCACTGCCTCTCTGCACTGCCTCTTGCACTGCCTCTTGCACTGCTCTTGCACTGCCTCTTGCACTGCCTCTTGCACTGCCTCTTGCACTGCTCTTGCACTGCCTCTAGCACTGCCTCTTGCACTGCCTCTTGCACTGCCTCTTGCACTGCCTCTTGCACCGCCTCTTGCACTGCCTCTTGCACTGTTTGCACTGCCTCTGCCACATGCCTCTTGCACTGCCTCTTGCACCTGCCTCTTGCACCGCCTCTTGCACGCCTCTTGCACTGCTTTGCACCGCCTCTTGCACTGCCTCTTGCACTGCCTCTTGCACTGCCTCTTGCACTGCCTCTTGCACCGCCTGCCTTGCACTGCCTCTGCACTGCTCTTGCACTGCCTTTGCACTGCCTCTTGCACTGCCTCTTGCACTGCCTCTTGCACTGCCTCTTGCACTGCCTCTTGACACCTGCCTCTTGCACCGCCTCTTGCACCGCCTCTTGCACTGCCTCTTGCACCTGCCTCTTGCACTGCCTCTTGCACGCTCTTGCACTGCTCTGCACGCTTGCACGCCTCTTGCACGCCTCTGCTCTGCCGCCTCTTGCACTGCCTCTTGCACTGCCTCTTGCACCGCCTCTTGCACCGCCTCTTGCACCGCCTCTTGCACCGCCTCTTGCACCGCCTCTTGCACTGCCTCTTGCACTGCCTCTTGCACTGCCTCTTGCACTGCCTTGCAGCTCTTGCACTGCCTCTTGCACTGCCTCTTGCAGCCTTGCCCTCTTGCACTGCCTCTTGCAGCTGCACGCCTCTTGCACCGCCTCTTGCACCGCTTTCACTGCTTTGCACGCCTCTTGCACTGCCTCTTGCACTGCCTCTTGCACTGCCTCTTGCACGCTCTGCACCGCCTCTTGCACCGCCTCTTGCAGCCTCTTGCACCGCCTCTTGCACTGCCTGCCTCTTGCACTGCCTCTTGCAGCTCTTGCACGCTCTTGCACGCCTCTTGCACTGCCTCTTGCACCTGCCTCTTGCACCGCCTCTTGCACTGCCTCTTGCACTGCCTCTTCAGCCCTTGACGCCTCTTGCACCTGCCTCTTGCACTGCCTCTTGCACTGCCTTTGCACGCCTCTTGCACTGCCTCTGCTCTTGCACTGCCCTGCCTTGCACTGCCTCTTGCACTGCCTCTTGCACTGCCTCTTGCTGCTCTTGCACCGCCTCTTGCACTGCCTCTTGCACTGCCTCTTGCAGCTCTGCACGCCTCTTGCACCGCCTCTTGCACTGCCTCTTGCACTGCCTCTTGCATTCTGCCTCTTGCACTGCCTCTTGCACTGCCTCTTGCACTGCCTCTTGCACTCCCTCTTGCACTGCCTCTTGCACCGCCCTTGCACGCTCTTGCACTGCCTCTTGCACCGCCTCTTGCACTGCCTCTTGCACTGCCTCTTGCACTGCCTCTTGCACTGCCTCTTGCACTGCCTCTTGCACTGCCTCTTGCACTGCCTCTTGCAAGTGTTAAATAAAAGGACAAACGTTTCCTCCTATTTCCTGAACTGTTCATAAGTGTCTTTTTTCCACATTGTGTCGGTATCACAATACTATTGTAATTATGTGACATTTACTTTGGCAACGTTTCGCTCTCCCGTCGCTTGACAAAGCTCCTGCAGAGCGAAACGTTGCCACAACACGCAACACACTGCCGGAAATTCTACCTAACTAAAATTTGCGAGTGTTATGAACGGGACGCAGTCGGAAAAATGACATAAAATACGAACACCGGGACAAATTAACAACGTTTCGGTCCTTGGACCATGGTCTATGGTGACCGAGGTCACAGGGCCAAAACGTTGCCAATAAAATATCCTGATGATTACTTTTGTTTCTCTCTCCAAAAATTCATGGTAAATGGGAGGTGCCTTGATGCCAGTTAACTGGGGGATCTTGATCCAACGAAATGGATTCAACCTGCATTGAATTGAACCTGAATGCCTTCCATTCCGAAGCAGGTTTAATAATCCTTACGGGTTTAACGCTTTCCCATAATTAAAATAAAACAATATAATTATGGCCTAACGATCAAACCAAACTAACGACCTAACTATCAAACCACGCTAACAACCTATCAAACCACGCTAACAACCTAACTATCAAACCACGCTAACAACCTAACTATCAAACCACGCTAACAACCTAACAAACCACGCTAACAGCCTATCAAACAACGCTATAAACCTATCAAACCACGCTAACAACCTATCAAACTACGCTAACGACCTAACTATCAAACCACGCTAACAGCCTATCAAACAACGCCAAAACCTTACCATCAAACCACGCTAACGACCTATCAAACCACGCTAATGATTTAACCATCACACCACACTAATGATCTAAC